GAGGTAAATGAAAGAGGGGTTTCAATCCTGGGCCTCTTTTTACATCACACTAGTGTTCAGGCCCGTCCATCAGCTCCTCCCTGCCCCAGAAATCTTTTCTGTGTGAAACAGACAGCCGTGGCCATGCTGAGAGGTGATGGGACACAGAGAGGAGGGCTCAGAGCCAGGGCCTCACGCCCATCTGGGCCTGCCGTACACTCCCTGGGCTGGCCAGGTCCATCACGCATGGGTAACAGAGGCAAACCTCCATCTCCATCCCCACCTCCAGACTCTCTGGACCCTGAGTCCTCCTATAAGAACGTCTCAGATGCATCCCCTGTGGTGTCCATTGTGGACTCCCCCTGCCATGCTGCCCTCACTCGGCTGTGCACTGTTCACCTCCTTGGCCTCAGAGTCCTGCATTGCAGAACAGGCATCGCGCAGGTCCCCTGACTCCTGGCCACCAAGGTGACCCCCCATTTATACATAGCCCATCTGTTGGCACACAGAGGCCACATTGGGCACTTGCTGCAGCAGCCTGGACCTTCCAGGCCAGCTATTGACAGGTCCCAAACCCTCCCAGGGGACTTGCTGTGTAGAGACTGCATGGCCTCTGCTGCCCAAGCCAAGACATCTGCGCCTACCAGGACAGACAGATCAGTGTTTCCTGAGCACCAACTATGTGCCAGGCCATGGTGCCTCATTTGTGATGAATAGGCCCTCAGTCTGGGGGTCATCCTGTCCTCTGGCTCCTAACCCTGGATGAGCATGAGAATTGCCTATATGCCATGTAAAAAATTCCCAGGCCCGGCTCGGCGCCTGTGGCTCAAGCGGCTAAGGCGCCAGCCACATACACCCAAGGTGGCAGGTTCGAATCCCCAGCCCGGACCCGCCAAACAACAATGATGGCTGCAACCAAAAAAAAAAAAAAATGGCCAGGCGTTGTGGCGGGCGCCTGTAGTCCCAGCTACTTGGGAGGCTGAGGCAGGAGACTCGCTTGAGCTCAGGAGTTGGAGGTTGCTGTGAGCGTGATGCCATGGCACTCTACCCAGGGGGATAGCTTGAGGCTCCATCTCAAAAAAAAAAAAAAAAAAAAATTCCCAGGCCCCTCTAGCCCTGATGAGTGGGTCCATATTACACAGGGGCCTGTCCCTGCTGTGGGACAGTAGTTAGATAGTTAGATTTATGTCAGCTTGGCAAGGTTCCAGCACTGAGAGACTTAGTTGAACACCAGTCTCAATGCTGCCGTGGCAGCATTTTGCAGATGTGCTGGACATGGTCAGTAAGAGAGAGCACCCTCCCTGTGTGCGTGAAGCATCAGGAGCAAGCACTGAGGTTTCCTGGAGAGGAACTTCTACCTGTAGGCACCAGCTTCTGCCAGACTTCCCAGCCGGCCAGCCTGCAAGAATTTGGATGTGCCAGTGCCCACAGTCATGTCAGCCAATTCCTTTCATTAAAGAATATCTTTATATGTTAACATACATTTATATAAAGTGGTGCTGGAATGAGCCCAGCCCCTACAAAGGCACTGCCCCGTCCTGACATGCACAGCACGCAGCACAGCCGTCCGAGGGCCCCTCCTTGGAGAGTCTGGCCCCATCTGCTTCCCAGCCGCAGCACTATGGGCGTCATACACTATCCACGGATCACAGAATGTTAGATCCACAAGGTGTCTTCCAAATCACACCATCCCCATCTTTTTTTGCAATGAGGAAACTAAAGACCCAGGCCTGGCACTGGCCCTGCATCACCCTGATCTGTCTCCCAAGACTTCCCCCCTTGCTCTGCCCACTCACACTGTCCTCCTGTCTCTCAAATGCACCAGGTGCTCCCTGGAATCCAAGGAATCCTCAGAGCCTGCTCCCTCCATCCCTTCCACCCTGGTGCTGTCCTCCTACTTTCTACAACCTCACCCTGCCTGGCTTTTCTTTGCTACACTTATGTCTCCTGACACAGCACAGACCTATTTGCCATTTCCTAGGTCCCTCAGTAGAGATGAGGGCCCTGAGGGCAGGTGCCTGGTCCAGTCTCTTGCCCAGAATGGACTCTGCTGTGTGGAGGGGCTTAACAAACACCTGTGAAATGAATGGACGGAGTCTTCAATGTGGAACCCTGGCCCTGGGGCACATTATCATGCCCCTTCTCCCCTCTGTCACACACGCCATCCCGCACTATGACCCTCCCGTTTCTCTGATTGCCTGCTGCACTTTGCATGTGCTGCAGCATGGTCTCCTGTGTCCCTGGGCCTGGGGACAGCAGCTGACGCAGTACCTCTGCATGGGTGGGTAGGAGAAGGCCATCATTTCATACTCATCAGAAAATGCACTCCTGTAAGACGGAGGGTGAGGAGAAGGGGGCAGAGGAAGAAGAAGGGAAGATGCCAGGGAGGAACCAGAGGTCCTGAGCTCTCTCCTGCTAAAGCAGAGCCACTGTGGGGGCACCTGGACCTCAAAGGGGAGGGGCTGGGCTGGAAAGGCGGCCAGGATAGGGTTCCTCCAAAAGATCCTGCAAAGAGCACCTGAGTGGGGGCCTCAATGCTCCTGGGTGTTTGGCTGCCTTCCCTGTTTGTTGGCATCCAAGGAGACTTTCAAACAGCAGCTTGGTGGCTTCCCATTCTCCTTGTCAGGACCACTGTGCCCGTGAGCAGCATACAGGTGGATGGCCAGAGGGACTCGTCTCCATCGCCACCCTCCCAGGCCCCTAGCATGCCCCAGGTGGCAGACAGCTCCCTTTACCTCACTACACGGACCCAGACAGGACGGCAAGCTTTGCTCTGGGCCTCGGGCTTGAAGCTAGAGACTTGTCCTTGCACTGCAAAATGGGTGTGACAGAGGTGCCCTCATGAGGCTGCTGTTTTGGTGAGAGGTCCTAACACCGTATCATGGAGATGTTGCACTTCTATTACCTGTGAACATAGTCAGCCTTCGCTGACACCTCCTTTGAACTTGACAGGAGCCCCACCTACTTAATTCTAGCATATATGGTTGTCTCTCTGGCGCTCTGGAAACAGGTGCCACACCTTATTCTTCCGTACCTCCCACTGCACTGATCCAAAGTCTTTGGGCAACATGGTAGGAGAGTGAACCAAGGGCCTTCCCTAGGAAGAACTGGGAATGCCTAGCACACAGGGGAACCCCCTGGCACATGGGAGCACCATCCAACATGCAGGAGCATCTCCTGGCACGCGGGAGTACCTTCTAGCACATGGGGGCATCTACCAGCACACAAGAGCACCTCCTAGACCATGGGAGCATCACCTAGCACACAGGAGCATCTCTTGACACACAGGAGCACCTCCTAGTACACAGGAGTATCACCTAGAACACGGGAGTACCTTCTAGCACAGGGGAACATCTACTAGCACACTAGAACATGGGAGCATCACCTAGCACACAGGAGCACCACCTAGCACACGGGAGCATCACCTAGAACATGGGAGCATCACCTAGCACATGGGAGCATCACCTAGCACACAGGAGCACCACCTAGACCACGGGAACGTCACCTAGCACACGGGAGCATCACCTATAACATGGGAGCATCACCTAGCACTCGGGAGCACCACCTAGCACACGGGAGCACCACCTAGACCACGGGAACATCACCTAGCACACGGGAGCACCACCTAGAACACGGGAGCATCACCTAGAACACGGGAGCATCACCTAGCACACGGGAGCATCACCTAGCACACGGGAGCATCACCTGGACCATGGGAGCATCACCTAGCACACGGGAGCATCTCCTAGCACATGGGATCACCTCCTAGTACACGGGAGCATCACCTAGAACATGGGAGCATCACCTAACACACGGGAGCATCACCTAGAACATGGGAGCATGACCTAGCACACGGGAGCATGACCTAGCACACAGGAGCACCTCCTAGCACATGGGATCACCTCCTAGAACACGGGAGCATCACCTAGCACACAGGAGCACCACCTAGCACACGGGAGTACCTCATGGCACACAGGAGCACCTCCTAGCACATGGGAGCACCTTCTAGCACACGGGAGCACCTCCTAGCACACGGGAGCATCACCTAGCATACGGGAGCACCTCCTAGCACACGGGAGCATCACCTAGCACAGGAGCACCACCTAGCACACGGGAGCACCTTATGGCACATGGGAGCATTAGGGAGCAAGGCAGGAGGGGGGCCTGGGTAGAGAGAAACCAAGAATCAGCCTCCAGGAGAGGTGGGGGTCTCTCACCCTGCAGCGTGGGTTGTGCTCCTGGACCATGCATGCAGATGGGGAGTTTGGGGAGGGTCCTCATTTGGCAGCTTTCATGACTTGCCCCGGTGGCTGAGTCAGGTCTCTGACCCAGGGCCCACACCCCTCTCCATAAACCTACCTGAACAGCCCTGACAGGGCTCATTTCCCTTACAACTTGCCTGGCAACAGGCTGCTCCTCACCAGACCTCAGGGGTCCCAGCTCTGGGGAGGCTTGTGTGGGCTGGCAGGGCCCTGGCAGTCCTAGTCCAAGGCCGGAGCCTGGAGGGTACTGCTGCGATTTCTCCCCTAACCCTAGGGCAGGAGGCTCCAGTAAGATCTGCCTCCCAAATCTCCAGCCCAGCTCTCTATCTCTGGGGGGTTTTGTTTGTTGATTTGTTTTTAGGGAAGGGGGAAAGTCCTCAGTCACATTAAGCCACTCTCAGACCTTTTATGCTAGGCCCCCAGCTGGGAGGGGGTGGTGACTAAGGGCTCAGCCCTCACAGCTAATTGCTCATTAAAAAGCGTTAATGAGCTTCCCCTCCATCCCACCCAGGCCAGCAGGTCTCCCCACTTCCCGCTGGGTGCTGGTGGGGGATAGCTGGTCTCTCCCTTCCAGACTGGCCCTCTCCATCTTCCTGGTGGTCCAGCCCCAAGCCCGCAAGCTGGGTCCCAGAAGGTCCAATTCCAGGTGCTGCTCAGCCAGCAGGTTCTGGGCACTTAGCAGCCAGAGCTCCTGTCTGCCTGAGACCTCCAGACCTGGCCCCCATCACAACCTTGGCCCATCCCCACCCTGGCACTTACAGCTTCTCCAGCAGGAAGAGTCCCAGGAAGGATCCATTTCGGAGCCCTGTAATCTTGTTGTTGCTCAGGAGTCTGGGGAACAGGGGAACACAGATGGGAAAAGGTTATGTCATACCTGTGAAGTGGGGAATCAGGCTTCATGTCCAGACCCTTCTGTGCACGTGGTGCCCCCTGGAGTTGTACAAGACAGCAATCCCACCCTCTATCTGTTCCAGGAGGTTGTAGTGAGAAGATCTCACTAGTCCTGGTGGATGGTCAGCTGCAGCTGCTCAAGTGCCCTCCCTGTCCCCCCCTCAGATCTGACATGGGACATAGGTGGGCTGAGATGGGCTGAGCAGGGCTGGGGCTGTGATGCTTCCCTTTCCACGCTGGGCCCACAGGATGGATCCTGTGAGCTCTCTCATGCCCTTCTCAGCTGTGTCCTTGTTCAAGCCTTTGGCCCAGTGTCCTGAGGGCAGTGGTGGGGTCAAGGGAAATAAGAGGCCCTCCAGCAGGTATGCGGGCAGCAGGTGAGGGAAGCTGCCCTCCCGGGGGTCTCTAACATTTGGCCTGGGACCCAAGAACCTTATGGGAAGGTGAGCACTTCTAGCCCTCAAGGGCCCACACTCCGAGGGTCTGAGTGCCCAGTGGCTGGACTGTCCCTGTCCCCTTGCCTCCCAAGCCTGTCCAGCCCTGGGTCTAGGGCAAGGCCAGGTCCTCAGCCTGTGCCTCTGTCCCTCAGAGTTCTGTTTGTTTATTCATGGTATTTAGGGGAGGAGGAGAGAGGCCACAGGCCCACGGAGCGGTTCAACTCCGCCCACCCACTCAGCCTTTCTCTGCCAAGCTCCCCGCTGGGAGGAGGGCGTTCCAGACCCGCTGAAGGGCGCATCCCTCTGGTTAATTGCTTTTTAGAAAGCTTTAATGAGCCTCTCAGCCGGCACTCTGGCCTGCCTGGGGCTGAGGCAAAGGTTTCCCTTCTATTCTCTGCCCTCAGGGGTAGAGAACAGACCCAGGAAGGCCAGTTCAGGCTTCAGGCACTGGGGGAGCCGGCAGAGAGGTCTGCCCCAGAGCTGGGGAGGAGTGGGGAGCACAAGACAGGCAGTGAGTGTCCCCAGATATCTCAGGGCCCCCCAGATGCCTAAGGTTCCCGCTACTCCAGCTTCAGGAGGCTCTTGGGGGGACTGGCCAGGACGGAGGCAGGAAGGGAAGGGGTGGAGACCTCGTCTCCTTCCTCCTGTCTCCCCGCTCCAGACAGACCCCAACCTGCCCAGTCCCTACCTAATGGTCCCTCCAGTGGTGACAGTGACAGTTCCTGGGGGGCTGTGAAGGGTGCTGGGGGAAGGGTATGGTGGATGGGTTTCCAAAATATCTCTCTCCCACACACACACACACTTTCTTGATATTTCAAAAAAGATCTCATGATAGTCATTTTTTACTTTTTTGAGACAGTCACTTTGTCACCCTTGGTAGAGTGCTGTCGCGTAATAGCTCATAGCAACCACCAACTCTTGGGCTCTAGTGATTCTCTTGCCTTAGCCTCCCAAGTAGCTGGGACTACAGGTGCCCACCACAATGCCCAGCAATTTTTAGAGACGAGGTGTCACTCTGGCTCAGGCTGGTCGCAAACTCATGAGCTCAGGCAATCCACATGCCTTGGCCTCCCAGCCTGCTCGGATTACAGGTGTGAGCCACCCAGATGATAGTCATTATATGAAAATTTAGTCGGGGCTTGGCTTATACATATAATCCCAGCATTTTGGGAAACCAAGAAGGGAGGATTGTTTGAGGCCAGGAGTTCGAGACCAGCCTGAGAAACAAAGCAAGACCCTGCCACTAAGAAAAAGAGCCTCAAGCGGCTAAGGCGCCAGCCACATACACCTGAGCTGGCGGGTTCAAAACCAGCCCGGGCCCGCCAAACAACAATGATGCAACCAAAAAATAGCCCGGCGTTGTGGCAGGTGCCTGTGGTCCCAGCTACTTGGGAGGTAGAGGCAGGAGACTCACTTGAGCCCAGGAGTTGGGGGTTGCTGTGAGCTGTGATGCCACTGCACTCTACCCAGGGGGACGGCTCTGTTTCAAAAAAAAAAAAAAAAAAGGAAAGAAAGAAAAAAGAGCCTCAAGCTGTCCCCCTGGGTAGAGCGCTGTGGCATCACAGCTCACAGCAACCTCTAACTCCTGGGCTCAAGCAATTCTCTTGCCTCAGCCTCCCAAGTAGCTGGACTATAGGTGCCCGCCATAGCGCCCAGCTATTTTTTAGTTGTAGTTGTCATTGTTGTTTGGCAGGCCCAGGCTGGACTCCAACCCACTTGCTATGGTGTATGTATGTGGTTGGCACCTTAGCTACTTGAGCTATAGGCACTGAGCTGAAAAAAATGTTTATTAATAAAAATTACCTGAACGTTAGCTCGGCGCCCATAGCTCAGTGAGTAGGGCGCCAGCCATAGACATCGAAGCTGGTAAGTTTGAGCCCTGCCCAGGCCTGCTAAACAATAATGACAACTGCAACCAAAAAATAGCCAGGCGCCTATAGTCTGGGAGGCTACTTGGGAGGCTGAAGCAAGAGGACTGCTTAAGAGCAGGAGTTGGAGGTTGCTGTGAGCTGTGATGTCACGGCTTTCTACTGAAGGTGACACAGTGAGACTCTGTCTCAAAAAAAGAAAAAATTAGCTGCACGCGGTGTTGCATGCCTGTAGGCTCAGCTACTCAGGAAACCGAGGCAGGAGGATAGTTGCTTGAGCCCAGGAGTTGGAGGCTGCAGTGAGCTATTATGATACCACTGCATTCCAGCCTGGGTGACAGAGTGAGGCCCCTGTCTCTTTAAAAATTTGTTTTTAATTTTAAGAAAAGAAAAATTAGGGCTTTTATGAACTTCTATTCTCATGTAATGGAGTAAGATGACACAGGGCGGTGGGGGTGGTAAACCACAATCTTGTCAGTTCTTAGGGCCTCTAAAGGTCTCATGAGGCCCTGGTGGGGCCAGGGTGGCTCCTTGGCAGTGACAGGCTCTTGATGGTAAACAACTTGACTTTTATTTTTATTTGTTTATTATTTATTTATTTATTTAGACAGAGTCTTGTTTTGTCACCCTCGGTAGAGTGCCATGGTGTCATAGCTCACAGCAACTTCAAACTCTTGGGCTCAAGCTATCCTCTTGCCTCAGCCTCCCAAGTAGCTGGGACTACAGGCGCCCACCACAAAGCCTGGCTATTTTTAAAGCCTGGCTATTTTTAGAGATGGGGGTCTCTCTCTGGCTCAGGCTGTCTTGGGCCTTGACCTCCCAGAGTGCTAGGATTATAGGCGTGAGCCACCCTGCCTGGCCAATAACCTGACTTTTAAATCAATGCTCACCTCACTGGTCCATGCCCTCCCTACATCCCAGAGTTTGCATTATATGTTGGAGAAGGGAAGAAGGTGAGAGGAGCCCTACTCCTTGGGAAGGCCAGGGAGGGGTCCTGAACTGTCAGGTGGAGAAAGGACACCCATTCCAGCCTCCCCCACCCCAAGGTCCTCTCCAGGGATTGTCCCTTATTCCTCCTTGTAGGGAGGAAGTGAGGGGGGTGGTGAGAGAGGAGGGTAGAATGTTGCCGAGGGCAAAGGGCAGAGGAAGGGAGCTCCCAGATTGCCACAGCCCCCTCCACAGAGGCAGAAGCCTCAGAACATTCTCTCTCAAGCTTGAGAGTGCATGGACCTCTCAAAGGGGGAGAGTATCTTATTTCCTGGAAATACATTTGAGGATTCCAGTTGGAGAGGCACTGGCTTTAAAAATCTTACACCATGAAAATGCCCTCTAGGCTTGGAGCCTGTAGCTCAAGCGGCTAAGGCGCCACATACACCAGAGCTGGTGGACGAATCCAGCCCGGGCCCGCCAAACAACAGTGACAACTACAACCAAAATATAGCTGGGTGTTGTGTCAGGCACCTGTAGTCCCAGCTACTTGGGAGGCTGAGGCAAGAGAATCGCTTTAGTGCAGGAGTTGGAGGTTGTTATAAGCTGTGATGCCACAGCACTCTACTGAGGGCGACAGCTTGAGGCTCTGTTTAAAAAAAAAAAAGTGCCCTCTAATCAAAAATTATCTCAAAATTATCTACAAAAGATTTGTGTCTGTGTGTAAGATTTCTTTACTAAGATCATTGAATTGAAAATAGAACATTCAGGCTCGGCGCCTGTGGCTCAACCGGCTAAGGCGCCAGCCACGTACACCTAAGGTGACGGGTTCGAATCCCCAGCC